CCTGATTGCACAAAAATAGAGCAATATTCATGCAACCAGCCTGGCTTCATGCATCGTGTCAAGCTCCATATGCAACCAGAAACCAGTTCAATATTCAATATCTGCAAAAGCAGACATATGAAATTGTATTTATTTTTTTATTAAATGTGATTCTACTCTAAGTGAATTTTAGAATAATCTTTCTCATAATAATGCCCAAAGCAAAATATTATACCTAACCCATATATGTGTGTGTGTATATATATTGTAACCCTTTCCTGTTGTGTAAATTGGGACAGACTGCTTGCTTCTCTTTCCTGTTGCATCCTCCCTGTGTGTCTATTGCATCAGAAAGTGATTCTCTGAAGAAGATGCATCTCTGAGTTGACAGCAATGCAAATGGCACAGCCTCATGGTCCTTGGTGGTAGTGCTTCTTCCGAGATGGGACTTGTAAAATGTCTGTCAGCCCTGGAGCCATTTCCTGACACCTCCCTGGCACTTTCAGGGCTGCCACAGTGAAGCGAGTTGAGCTGTGGGAACAGGAGAGAGGAGGAAGAGATAGCTAGGGGCAGAGGTGGCATTCAGCAGGTTCTGACCAGTTCTGGACAACCGGTAGTGGAAATTTTGAGTGGTTTGGAGACCCAGCAAATACCAACTCTGACTGGCCCTGCCCCATCTATTTTTTTTGCCTCCCGAGTCCCAGCTGATCGGCTGGGTCTTCTTTGGTTGCCCTGCACAGGAGAACGGAGCTGGAAAGCAGGTCAGTGGGGTGGGGAGGGAATGGGGATTTTGCAGTATCCTTCTCCTGCCACACCCACCAAGCCACACCCACAGAATCGGGAGTAAAAAAATTTGAATCCCACCACTAGCTAAGGGATTGTAGCCATGATGAAAATTCTTTCTTCTAAGAACCAAGGACTTTCCTACCAGGTGCAAGGAGGTGGGGTCTGAGACCTAGTGACCCTTGGACTGTGGCCTGATTGGACCATGTGATGGACTACATGGGCTGGGGAAAGAAAACTCTACTTTTAACTAGGAGGAAACCCAAGGGGTGTTTAAAGTCGGCTTTCCCCAGATGTGCCAGTATGACATGCCTAATAAATCTTTACTTTGAGGAACATGCCAGCCTTGGAGTTTCGATTCCGTTGGGTGTGTTACTTAAAACCCTGACGATATCCTGCCTCCTAGGTCTTATAGGATAGGTAGAAAATGCTGAGAGAAGGGGGGAAATCATACAGATGCAGGCCATCCTCGAATTACGACTGCTTGTTTAACAAGCATTTGAAGCAACAAGGGCCTCAGAAAGAGTGCTTTATGGTCCACAAAACACTTCCAGCCCATCATAAAATGATATGCCCTGCCCTCTGCGGTCACATGACTGCATTTCCGGTGCTTGTCAACCAGCTTGTATTTACAACCGGTTGCAGCATGCCGGCCCCGTGACCACTATTTTCGACAGATTTTACTGAATTCCTACAGGTTTGTTTAGCACTGTTTCCTGGATTGTTTGCCGGTGAACCTGCTCGCTTGGGAGAATGGCTTAACAACCTCTGCAAAAATAGGAGAAAAATCTATGTCCAGTCCCAAAAAGGACAAGGTAAAGGAGACTCTGTGGATTTTACTCTGCTAGACTATAGGGGGCGGTGTTCACCTCCTTTTCAAGGCCATTGAGTCAGAGCTGTCCAAAGACATTTCCGTGGTCATCTGGCCAGCATGATGTCGCAGAGCGCCGTTACTTCCCACCAAAGTGGTACCTATTTGTCTTTTCGCATTTGCATGCTTTCAAACTTCTGGGTTGGCAGGAGCTAGGGTGAGGATGGGAACTCAACCTGTTATGTGGAGTTCGGATCTCAAACCCTGGCTGGCTGCTTTCCAGCCAACAAGCCAGTGGTGGGATTCAATTTTTTTTTACTACCAGTTCTGTGGGCGTGGCTTGGTGGGCATGGTGTGGCTTGACGGGTGTGGCTTGGTGGGCGTGGCAGGGGAAGGATACTGCAAAATCCCCATTCCCTCCCCACCCCACTAACCTGCTTTTCAGCTCCGTTCTCCTGTGCAGGGCAACAAAATGAGATGCAGCTGATCAGCTGGGATTCCATGGGAGGAAGAGAAGAGATGGGGGTGGAGCCAGTCAGAGGTGGGATTTGCCGGTTCTCCGAACTACTCAAGATTTCCGCTACTGGTTCTCCAGAATTGGTCAGAATCTATTGAATACCAGCTCTGCAACAAGCGCAACATCTTAACAATTGAGCCACTGCACTGCCTGTCCAGTCCCGTGCTTGTCTTGAATTACACCCACAATGACTTACCATCAAAATTCCCATCCCAGTTGTAGTCATAAGTCAAGGGCTATCTATACACCCAAACTGGACCTCAGTTTTTTTCATTTACTTCCTCCAACCCACCCTAGCATGAGATGCTGCAGACCACAATCCCAATGATACAGAACAACAAGAGTTGGAAGGAATCTTGGAGGTCTTCTAGTCCAACCCTCTGCTCAAGCAGGACACCCTATACCCATGATGGCAAACCTATGGTATGCGTGGTGACAGAGCCATTTGTGCCAGCATGCCAGCTGCAGGCAAACTTACCTCACTCCGCATGTGTGCGCCTCACAGCTGATTTTCGGTGGGTTTGAGGCCTTTTTTGGCCTCCCAAAGGCTTGAGGAAGGCTTCTGCAGGCTTCTGCAGGCTTTGCAGCCGAAAACTAGCCCCATTTCATCACTTCCTGTTTTTCTGAAAATACCGGAAGTGACGAAACGGGACTAGTTTTTGGCCTGCAAAACCTCCAGAAGCCTGTAGAAGCCTTTCTCAAGCCTTTGGGAGGCCGAAAAAGGCCTCAAACCAGCCGAAAATCAGCTGTGAGGTGCAGCACAGGTAAGGGGGTGGTGGCGTGGGTGGGTGGGGATTGCGCGTGCATGCGTAGGGGGCGTGGGGGGTGCACATTGCTTTCTGGGTGCTGGCACGTGAGCATGCAAGCACCAGTTTTTGGCACAATTTTTGGCACAGGAGCCCAAAAAGGTTAGCCACCACTGCCTTATACTATTCCGCACAAATAGCTATCCAGTTTCTTCTTTAAAATGTCCAGTGTTGGAGCACCCACAACTTCTGCAGGCAAACCGTTCCATTTATTAATCGTTCACTGTCTGAAAATAAAGTCCAACAAGACATTGAAATAACGGACTGGAGTGGGAGGATCTTGGAAGATCAGAATAGGCATAGGTAATCATAGGAGGAAGTTCATGGCAATTATGGGAAGGCTGGGGAAGAACCTGATGTATATTTTTATGCCTGCATATATTTTTGCTAATTGCTTTGACATAAGACTTCAGCAACAGAGTGGTCAATGCCTAGAATGCACTACCTGACTCTGTTGTTACATCCTCAAACCCCCAAAACTTTAACTTCAAACTATCCACTATTGACCTCATCCCATTCCTAAGAGGTCTATAAGGGGCCTGCATAAGTGCACCATCGTGCCTACCATCCCTGTCCTTTTGTCCCCATTTCTTTGTACCTATTTCCTGTATTCTTACTCCTGTTTATACTTATACCTATTATCTTGTAAACCAGGGGTCCCCAACCACCGGTCCGCAGACCGTTACCGGTCCGCGGAACAAGTCCTACCGGGCCGCTGGCTTGCTGGCGCCATCTTTTTTTGATGAAAAAGTGCTTCCGGTGAGCTTTTCCGGGTAGAAAGCTCACCGGAAGCACGTTTTCATCAAAAAAAGATGGCGGCGCCCAGCTGATGCTGGTACCGGGCCGCGGCGCCCAGCTGATGCCGGTACCGGGCCGCGGCGTAAAAAAGGTTGGGGATCACTGTTGTAAACGATTGACAAATCAAATAAATAAATAAATAAAAATAAATAAACAAGTAGGGAAAGATGGGATTTGTATGGCCTGTCACTGATAGTCATCGTGGCTTGTCAATGGGCAGCCTCTAGATATGAGGACTCCATCTTTTACAATTTCAAGCCAGTGTGGTCATTGATGAGATTTCTTGGCAATGAGGACCACTTAGAAGAGATGAGGTCTGCTTCATCTAGAGGAGATCTTCTCCGCCTGTCCATCTGTCTGTCTACGGCAATGAAAAATGAAGGAGGACTCCCCAGGAAGGAAAAGGAGATACAGGAACCAAGTGCAGGATTTACAAGGAGCGGATCAGAAGTCACCAAGAATCACGTCATGGTAGAAGATGGTCAAAAGGCGGAGCTTCCTTTGAGGGACCTGGTAGGGTTTCAATATTTTAAGGCATGAAATCAAACTGATCTTAAAGGGCTGGAATGAATTTTCCTTTATTCCAGCACAGTTAGCCGCACTCAAGGGTTGGCAACCTATCTTGGGCACTGTCTTGTGTAATGCCCCCTCATCCCAATTCCCCAATATTTCATGAGTTCAGTTCACTCATGAGACCATCAAACTCTTGCAAGAGCTCATCAAGTTTAAAACTTTATTTTATTTGGAGGTCTGGAGGGGTCTCTCAGAGATTCAAACAGCTTTGAGTAAGTTCAATGGGTGTCTAACATTTCCCTCCAATATCACGCAGGAAAGGAGGAAAACGAGGGATTTCACCTTGAACCGAATCAAGCATTTGGTCCATTTGAAACAGAAGTTTAACACCACTCCCTCATTTGGCAGAACAGCCTAACGTGATTACTGTAAACCCATACAATTTGCACAATATTTGCAACAGCATGATTGCACAAAATATAGAGCAATATTAATGAAACCAGCCCGGCTTCATACATCACATCAAACTTCATATGCCTCCAGAAACCAGAGTTAAAAACTAACCAAGCCTAACATATTGTCAGCTGAACCTGATTAGATCTGTCACGGGAACACCACCATTACTCTATACCAGGGGTCTGCAACCTGTGGCTCTGGAGCCACATGCGGCTCTTTTGGCCCTCTGCTGCGGCTCCCTGTTGGCTGATCCCACCACTGGCCTGAGAAGGTAAGGGTGATGGCACAGGATGGAGACTCGCTCCATATTCCAGAGCAGGAGGTGACTGGGTGGGAGTGAATGATGTCGAATTGGCCACGCCCACCCAGTCACACCGGTTGTTAAATTATTGGCTCCCGGTGTTTTCTTTTCTGTGGGAAAGGGGCCCAAATGGCTCTTTGAGTGTTTAAAGTTGCAGACTCCCTGATCTATACACTAACCTGGTATCAGATCCCAGGTTTTAAACATTAAGTTGTGCAAATCTTCAAAGATTGCTTTCCATGCACCTCTCCAACTTGTTAGTATCAGAATGGTACGGCCAAATTTTATTTGTGAAAAGCAGCAGCTTCTTCTGCGCAAGGATGGCAGGTCTCCAGAAGCCCTATCTTCTGAGGAAAAATCCTCAATTGAGGAAGATCACCCTGGATGGCCACTCTACCTCGCACACACATGTCTATTAAGTACAGGTATTTTTCCAGGGGAAATTTTGTTTCTTCATATTCATGACTTAGCAAGCTGTTCGTCATTGGTTAAAAAGAGGGTTCAAATTCAAGTCCCAGCATTTCCTCGGAGACCCTGTGCTGGTCAGTAATGAGCAAACTGAGCGAGAAGACTCAAACATCTGTCTCGGTGAAATGCCACTTCCATGTTCTACGTTCTTCTTGCTGAGAAGGAGAAACAAGGAACCTTTTAATGGCTGCTTCTTCAGAAGAGGACTTTCATCAGCAGGTGTGCAACGAGAGTGAAGAGGAGACATCCTGTCAGCTGAGAGACCTGGTTGGCTGGCCGGCAATTGACAGTATCTGTATCAAACAAGTTCGTTTTTCCAGAGTGTAAAGTATTGCAGGTGGACTCCGTTGTGCAACCTTTCAGCTTTTCTATACCTGACAAACAAGAAGGAAAGTCACACAAAGCCTGGTGAGGATGACCTAAGAAGTCCACTCATCCACTTAGTGGTTGCCTAACCACAACACACTAATCTTTCAACTTGTTTAACAAAATTCCAGTATTATATTCACAAAAATATGTGGATATAAACCACATCATAGAACAACATGATGGTTTGATACAGCCAACAGAAGAATAGAGTGGGAAGCCTGGAGGTCTTGTAATCCAACTCTCTGCTTAAGGAGGAGACGCTCTATGATTCTGGACAAATGGCTGTCCAGTCTCTTCTTGAAAACCTCCAGTGATGGGGCACCCACCACTTCTGGAACACACGTTCTGTTCCCCTGATAGTTTTGACTGACAGGAAAATTCTGTTTAATTTTAGGATAGATCTCTCTTCAATAAACTTCCATCCATTACTTTCTTTGTCCTGCTTTCAGGTGCTTTGGAAAATAGGTTGACCCCCACCCACCTCCTTTCTGTGACCGCCATGCAAAGATTGGAAGACTGCTATCATGTCACCCAGAGGTGGTATTCCTCAGGTTCTGACCAGTTCTGGAGAACCAGTAGCTGAAATTTTGAGAACCGGAGAGAACTGGTAAATACCACCTCTGACTGGCCCAACTATTCTCTGCTTCCCAAGTCCCAGCTGATCGGCTGGGTCTCCTTTGGTTGCCCTGCACAGGAGAACGGAGCTGGAAAGCAGGTTAGTGGGGTGAGGAGGGAATGGGGATTTTGCAGTAACCTTCCCCTGCCACGCCCACCAAGCCATGCCCACAGAACCAGTAGTAAAAAAAAATTGAATCCCACCACTGATGTCACCCCTAATCTTTCTCTTCATTAGACTATATATATCCAGTTCCTGCCATTGTATGGGCGAGGATTCCACCTAACCCATATACACCCACAGAGAAACATATCCAAGGTTAAATGAACTCAGGTTAACATATTTGTAATTTATTGGGCAAAGTAGGTTGTATAAACACAGTCAACATGTTTTAAGGTGACGTGTGAACATATTCATAATATAACCTCAGAATTACCTAGATATTTATGCTCAGCCAAATCCAGGCAGTAATTTTCAAATCCAGTACACTCGACTGTCTTCACAGGACATGGCTCAGATTCAGAATAGCAGGCTGGGCAGTATTTCCCATTGGCTGTCATATTTATTGGTGGCCCTGGAAAAAAAAAGAGAGCCCAATTAATTAAATCACAACATTTGAGTTCAAAAACGAACAACCCTCTTGTGATCATTGGTTCCATTAGTTTCAGGCATTTGTCATCCATAGTTGCTCTCAAATCTACTCCTGCATTTTTTTACGAACAGTCGTTAAGTTACAATTATTCGTTTAGTGACTGTTCCAAGCTACAATGGCACTGAAAATAAGTGACTTACAACCGGTCCTCATTCTTACGACCTTCGCAGCATGCCCGCCACAGTCCAGCCCACCTCACAGGGTTATTGTGTTGGGAGAAATAGGATACTAGATATGTTCATTGTCTTGACTTACTTTAAGTATTGTTTAAAAATCTAATACATAAATTAATAAATAAACATTCCCAACACTATTGATGCAGTCTTTAAAGAATCCTACAAGCCCTCCAGATAAAGTTGTTTACCCATCTTGCAAAGGGGAACCCGCCCCCCGCCCTCAGAAATATCTAACTTGCAATTCAAGGAAAGATAGGAAACCGTAGTCCTCCAGATCAGGAATGACCAACCTTAGCAAGTTTAAGACCAGTGGACTTCAATTTCGCAGATAGAGAAACGCTGGGGAATTCTGGGAGTTGAAGTCCACAGGTCTTAAAGTTGACAAAGTTGGACACCTCTGCTCTCCATCATTCTGAATTACAATACTCAACAGGGCCTCTAGTAGAGAATTCCTGTTACTTGAAGTTCTTGGAGGGTATGGCAACTCCCAATTCTTTTGAGGTGATTCTGCAGGTTCATCAATCAAAGTTTGGAGGGCCAATTATTTCTGACATGGTTGGATGATGGTCACTGGCAGAGGCAAAGAAGAAGAGACCTACATGGAAGAGAATCTTCTCTGCAGTCTTCTCCTGAGCAACACAGGATGCTTTTCCGGAGGAATTCTCCTTGTCCAAAGGTCACCAAAACAGATGCAGAGGTGCAGTTTTCTGAGAAATAGCAGCCCTTTCCTATAATCGACATGTTTTTTCCTCCTGCCAAGAGAGAAGATTTCATAGTTGGTGATGTTTAGGCCTTCACCTAGCCTAGTAGTGCACAGAGCTTTTATATGGGACTCCTTCTGTGACTAAGGATCTCAAAACTGTAATAGGATCCTTAGCCTCAAGAAGCACCCAGCTCAACGGTTGACATCTCCAAGCCTAATACCTTGGAGGGTTACCTCTAGGTAAGCCAGCAAGATGAAGGCAACTTTCCATGTTTGGATCATCCTTTATTAATTTGCAGTCATAAAGAAGCATGTTTGTTATTACTGTTAATATTTGATTTCTAAATCCCTCAGTGGTTAAAATTGCTGTGCTTTTCAGCTGGACAACGGACACCCGGGGTTTGAGACCCGAGTGCCATATGATGGGGTGAGCTCCCATTCTTGTCCCAGCTCCTGCCCACCTAGTAGTTCAAAAGCATGCAAATGTGAGCAGATAAATAGGTACCACTTCGGCGGGCAATGCCCTTCCCTGTGCTTTTGGCATATAGTCATGCAAGCCACATAACCGTAGAAGTGTCTTCGGACAACAGTGGCTCACTCGGCTAGGAAGTGGAGATGAACACTGCCCCTTAAAGATGGACATGATTATGGGCAGGGGAAATCTTTACCTTTATCCAATGGCTACAGTTCTGATGGGCAGTGCTCAAATCAATAAAACGCATTATAGAAAAGATGTAGCTATCTCAATGCAGAGAAAAAAGAGGGTTCCAGCAAAAAGGTTTCCAATGTATTTATTGAAATTTTTGTATTGATGATAGATGATAGAGATAGGTATGTGTGTGTGTGTGTGTAGGTAGGTATATATACCATGTGTCCCTGAAAATAAGACTGGGTCTTATATTAAATTTTGTTCCAAAAGAGGCATTAGGGCTTATTTTCCAGTTAGGTCTTATTTTCGGGGAAATACGATACTAAATGCATCTGTGTGGCTGACGAGCTTAACTGGGGCTTATTTTTGGGGGGGTAGGGCTTATATTACCAGTATCTGGAAAAATTATGCTAGGATTAGGTATTATTTTTGGAAAAACATGGTATGTATGCATATAGCATGTGTATATGTGTGTTATATATATGTATGGATAGATACACACAGATACATACTTTCTTTTGAGAGTAGGCAACCGAATTTCATTTTTAATGTCTGCCGGTGTGCTCCCCGTAAAAAAAAATTGACAATAAAGTTTATCTTAATCTTAATATTCCATTTTTGTTCTTACAACCGAAGGAGGCATCATCTTAATCCATAGCAAACATGGGTGGCAGGTTGGACTGCAATAAGGACTGGCCCAAAGTCAGCCAGTGAACACCATGGTCAGGAAAGGAACAGAGCTTAATCTGCTAGTTTCAGTTCAACTCTTTAATCTAAGCCCACTCACCAACTGGCCTGGAGGGTAGAGGTATTCCTTGACTTACAACCATTCAAAGTTACAGTGGCACTGTAAAAAGTGACTTACAACCAGTCTTTGACCTTATAACCCTCACAGCATTCCCCACAAGTCATATGATCAAAATTTGTTGCTTAGCAACTGGCATGTGTTTATGACATTTACAGAATCCGGGGGGGGGGGGTCATGTGGTCATCATTAGTGATCTTCCCAGCTGGCTTTCCAACAGGCAAAATCAATGGAGGAAGCTGGATTCACTTAATGACTGTGTGATTCATTTAATAACTGCAGACATTGCCAATTGTGGCCAAAAGGTTGGCAAATCAGGAGCGATTCACTTAACAAATCACCTTGCTTAGCTACAGACACGCTGGTCGTAAGTCAAGGACTTCCTGTATTTCCAAGGACAAAAATAAACTATTGTAGGGAGAGAAGATCAAGAGGTCTGCTTGTCTACTGATCGACCTTTCACTCACCTTTGGAGGTCTCTGTCAGTTCAATGAAACAGATGTCCTCTTCCATTTCACACTTCTCTTTTTCACTTTTACAACTATATCCCGTGGCCATACATACTTCACACTCCTGGGGGGCACCTGAAAAAGTGAAATGACCCATCAACTTGCAGGACAGATATTTCAGCCATGTATCCATGGCTACCTGTCAATGACTACTTCAGCTTGAACCGCAATAATACACGGGCAAACAATACCATAGGTACAAACTCAAAGTAAACCGCTCCAAACTCGATTGCAGAAAATAGGACTTCAGCAACAGAGCGGTCAACGCCTGGAACTCACTACCTGACTCTGTTGTTACATCCTCAAACCCCCAAAACTTTAACCGTAAACTGTCCACCGTAGACCTCACTCCATTCCTCAGAGGTCTGTAAGGGTGCATGCATAAGCGCACCAGTGTGCCTACCGTCCCTATCCCACTGTTCCCATTTATTCATACTCAATTATTATGAATATACTTACACTGTTTATACTTATATGTGTATATGTTCATACTTGTTTTCTCATACATGCTTGACAAACAAAATAAATAAATTAAATAAATAAACAATCCCACCTTCCCTTCCCCAAAATATCTTTTGTTAGGTCCACTAGCCACTACCGTCACTACTACCAATTTGTATTAGTGACCAGAGTGTCTAATGAACCTAATCACCTAATGCTTAGCAACAGAAATTTTGAGCTTGATTGTGGGCATTAAATCAAGGATTTCCTGTCCTGGAATCTTGCAAATCCGCCTGGGTTTTCCATTTCCTCCCTCTTATTTCCCCAGTGACTCATGGGGTGAGCCTCTCTCCTAACCTTCTCCCATTCCCTGGGGCATAACTCATGTTTCTTCTGTGCTGTCTACGCAAGTACAGGTATGAGCTACGCTACCTGGGAAATTCTGGAAAGCGTAAAGTTAGAGCAGGCATATCTTGGAAAGGTTTTTCATGACGTAAAAAGAAGATTTGAACTAGAAGATGAGCCTCGGCGGCACAGTGGTTAGAGTGCAGTACTGCCGGCTACTTCTGCTGCCTGCCGGCTGCCTGCAGTTTGACAGTTCAAATCCCACCAGGCTCCAGGTTGACTCAGCCTTCCACCCTTCCGAGGTGGGTAAAATGAGGACCCAGATTGTTGGGGGGCAAGAGGCTGGCTCTGTAAACCGCTGTAAAGAATTATAAAGTGGTATATAAGCCTAAGTGCTATTGCTATTATAAGAACCGTGGTGGCGCAGTGGTTAGATTGCAGTATTGCTGGCTAATTCTGCCGACTGCCAGCAGTTCGATCGTGACCGGTTCAAGGTTGACTCAGCCTTCCGTCCTTCTGTGGTGGGTAAAATGAGGATTTATTGGAGGCCATACGCTGACTCTATAAACCGCTTAGAGAGGGCTTTAAAGCACTATGAAGTGGTATATAAGTCTAAGTGCTATTGCTATCTGCTTAGGCCTGCTTTCATAATCTGTCAGAGACGTTTCCCCACCTGCTGAGGAATTACCAGAGGTTTCTTACCGGAAGAAAGAAGGGCAGAAATGCAAAATAAGCTCAGAAGAACTTTCATCTCGAGTGATGAAGATGGCAGCATCTCCCTGGAACTGCTTCTGCAGCGGGGCCACTTCTATGTCCTAAAGGATAAACATTCACAGGAAAAAGTGGTTTGTTTTCTTTTCAACCAGGGAAACCTGCTCTACCCAAATATGGGATGGAACGTACAGCATCTGCTTTTGCCTTTCAGTCCCCATCCAGGAGCCTTCGCAGACAGAGCCAAACTATTTTGGTGCTGAATTTTTATTTAATACAATAACACACCTTTAAATCACCTTTAAATAAACACACCTTTCTTCCTCTGTCACTAAGTATAAATTTAACACAGTCACAGGAAAAACAGACATGTACAGGTTAGTCTTCGACTTAACGACCACAATTTATGTGGCTAAGCGAGATATGTGTTGAGTTTTGTCCCATTTTATGATCTTTCTTGCCGCAGTTGTTTTAAGCGAATCACTACAGCGGTAAAATAAGTAATCCAGTTGTTAAGGGAATCTCACTTCCCTGTTGATTTTGCTTGTCAGCAGGTCGCAAAAGAGGATTACACGACCCTGGGATACTCCAACTCTTCTTTATGCCAGCCCCTCAAATACTGGAATACTACTATCCTGTCCCCCCCACTAGTCTTTCTTTTTTGCTGGACTTCTTTCAATACAGCACCCGCATGGTTTCTGGGTATATGAATGTCCTCTCCGTACAGACCATTCTGCTGGACCCCACTCCCCTGCTAAGAGAAGGGGCTAGGGGAAAGTCGTTTGCAAAAATTCCTTGCTTATTTTTATTATTTTTGTTCTGGTCCACGGCTCAGGAAGGGTGGGCAGCAAGAGTCGCTTGCGAAAAGATCGAAATGTAACAATAACCAAGAATTGACCAGAGTTGGAAACTCCAAGAATGACCTCAGCTAAAAAATAAAAATAAAAAAAAGGCACCACACACCAGCAAGAAACTATGATCCTCACCACGAGAAGAAGGAACTCAAAAGGGGAAGGAAAAGGTTTGTGACACCAGTTTTGACAACTAAGACAGCTAGGATTTGAATATATATATATATATATATATATATGCTATATTTTTTTTTTAAAAAAAACAACACCTCTATTTCCTTGCAACTGGGCCAATTTGAGAGCTCTGGGGGCAGGAGGTTCATTGGGAGGAGGAGAAAACCCCACCCTGCTAGTTCAGGAAGTGGCACAGGGCAATCCAAAATTCAATCACAGGGAGTTCTTGACTTACAACAGTTCGTTTTGTGACCATTCCAGGTTACAACAGCACTGGGGGGGGGGGCGAAAAAGCGACTTACAATCGTTTTTCACCCGGCCGTCACTGCTTCCCCACGCTCCCTTGATCGAACTTGGCAAGCGGTTCATATTTATGTGCCAGGGTCACGCAATCTGCTTTTGAGACCTTCCGACAAGCCAAATCTGTGCAAGCGGGGGAGGGGAGGAATCCAGACTCTTTGAACAACCGTGTTACTGACTTCAACAACTGCGCTGATTCGCTTAAGCACCGCGGCAAGAGAAGTCGTAAAACGGAGCAAAGTTCGCTCAGCCAATGTCTTGATTCATGACCTAACTTTTGGGCTCCGTGGTTGTCGTAGCTCGAGGACAAACTGCGTATCCTAAACCTGACACCCACCCAGCTGCTGGTTCCAGAAATACGTCACCTACCCCCAGATTAACCTGTTTCTGAGAACTTTCCAAAGAAAAAACACTTCACTGTTAGAGATGATCTAAAGGTCAACATGAGCCGCTGCGGCTGCTGATCCTAATTGTCGACGGTTAATGAATCCGGACGATGATGAGAATCCCCATAACTGGCAACGCTGTGCTATTCAATTCTATTAATATCACAGAATGATCTGCAGGGGTGGTGGTGGGGGGGGAGAAATATAACACTATAGCCCAATCAGCGAGCCCTGGAAGTTCTTACCCGTTTCCCAGCCTTCAAATACATACCCAGTGTCTGCTCTCTTTCTGCCGATCCACCTACCCCTGCGGGCCATTTTTACCAGCAGATGCAGAAATTCAGAAAAAAGCCCCTTTAAAAACTCCAGGATTTCACAAAGCGGTTTGCCTTTCAATCCAGAGCTGGCTTCCAACTGCTCGTGTACTTCTCTTTTGCTTTTCCTTTCCCTGTGCCTTTAACAGCAGCTGAAACTCTTGGCAGTCGCTGAAGATGGTTTTGGTTTTTTTTGTTTTGTTTTTTTCTTCTCCCTATGACTTTTATCAGAGCTAGCGGAGTTTCATCTGTTGCTTCACTGAATGACGGCTGCAGATTATTTAAAAAAAAAAAAAACACCCAAAGGGAGGCCGATCCACAGCTTTAAAAATAACTCTTGGTGAAGTCAAAGTCGCATGGGGGAAATTCCAAATGGCTAACTTTTCAGCACTTTTAAACCAGATTGAGGAGAAGCTCGGCATCGTGGCTTGCACAGCTAACTGAGTTGGGTGTTTTAAACAGGGGTTTGTTTTTTTGGGGGGGTGGGGGGCAATTTGGTTTGTTGCATAAATGCAGGGTAGACAGTTAAGCTATGGTTTGAGGCATTGGGAAAAGCCAGAGAAAGGGTTTGGACTCAAAAGATCTGGAGTCAAATTAGTCTTCAGGTTCTTTAGGTGGCCTGTGAGAATGGCCTTGGGAGAGTACGGAAAGAGTCATAGTTTAGATGACAAAAAGCATCATGCAAAAGTTACCTTAAGCCATGGGAAGCCTCTCAAACAGGACCCTCCCTAGCTCTTTGGAAGGTAAAGGCAGGGGGGTGGGGGGTGGAAGTGCTTTCCGACTTGCAATTTTCTGTTGCTGTAACTTTACAAGAAAGTTAGTGTTAGTATTGGGGTTTGTGCTTCCTCTCTGGATTACTTCACAGGCGTGGTGCAGTTGGTTAGAACCAATACTGGTTTGTCAGCATTGCAGGCAAACTCTGCATTCCACAGCCAGGAGTTTGATCCTGACCGGCTCAGCCTTCCTTCCATCCTTCCAAAGTCGGTAAAATGAGGACCCAGATTGTTGGGGACAATAGGCTGACATATTGTAAACCTCTCAGAGAATGCTGCAAAGAACTAAAAACGTAAGGTTCCCCTCACACATATGTGCTAGTCATTCCCAGCTCTAGGGGGTGGTGCTCATCTCTGTTACAAAGCCGAAGAGCCAGCGCTGTCTGAAGACGTCTCTGTGGCCATGTGGCCGGCATGATTAAACGCTGAAGGCGCATGGAACGCTGTTACCTTCCCACCAAAGTGGTCACTATTTTTCTATTTGCATTTTTTACATGCTTTCAAACTGCTAGGTTGGCAGAAGCTGGGACAAGTAATGGGAGCTCACTCTGTTACACAGCGCTAGGGATTCGAACCACCCAACTGCTGACCTTTCTGATGAACAAGCTCAGTGTCTTATCCACCGAGTCACTGCATCCCTGTAAAGAACTACAGAGTGGTATATACAGAGTGGTATATAAGTCTAAGTGCTATTGCTATTCTATAAAGAAGAGGTCCCTGACCCCAGGGGCACAGCCCACTACTGGGTTGTGGTACATTTGGAACTGGGCTGTGGAAGCTGGAATGGAACATGGGACCATCCCCTCTCCCCCACAATCCCCCTCCCATCCGACAAATCAGAAAGTTTGGGGACCACTGTTATAAGAGCAAGATAGATTGGCTTCCTAGCCAGCTGTGCAAAACCATTCCTCATCTAGAAGTCTGGACTGGGCTGGCATTGCTCTAAGACAGGGGTCTCACCAACCTTGGCCACTTTAAGACTAGTGGACTTCAACTCCTAGAATTCCTCAGCCAGCAAAGCTGACTGAGGAATTCTGGGAGTTGAAGTCCACAAGTCTTAGAGTGGTCAAGGTTGGCTGAGGAACTCTGGGAGTTGAAGTCCACAAATCTTCAAGTTGCCAAGGTTGGAGACCCCTGCTCTAGGACCTAGGAGCACTTGGGCTGAAAGGGGGGAAAAAGGGCAGACAATGCATCTGGATTTCAGAACTGGTAGGGTAAGGTTTTTTTGTGGCCGAAACCACTTGGGAGGTACCTCTCTTTGCAGATGTGTGGCCATCCTCTGACTTCACTCATGGTTTCCTGAAACTGTGGTAGTATTTTTTTAAGCAGCATTTCTCAACCCACGTGAACTTTCAAGAAGTTGAGAAACGGCTGCTCTAAAGCATAATTAAGTTTCTTTTCCTCTGTTCAACTGTGTCTGGTTCTTGCAGCTTCTTGGCAAGGTTTTTCAGAAGTGGATTATCATTGCCTCATCCCTGAACTCAAATCAATCACCCAGCCGGCTTTCATGCTTAGGCCAGGACTAGAACTCACAATCTCTCAGTTTCTAGCCTGGTGCCTTAATCACTAGACCAAGCTGTCTTTTAATTGGGCCTCTCTTACGAAGTTTCATAAAACCTGTTCCAGAAAAGGAAGTTGTTTTTCTATCACCTTAAAGAACGATGTTTTTTTTTTTTTTTTTTTGCAAAGGTATTCACTTCCAATCTTCAAAGGAGCTGTGAAAAGTCATGTAAAGTTTAACACTGTAAACAACAGAGAATCTCTAAGGGCACCTTGAAGAGAACACATAATGCATTCAATGTAAGGTGGCACAAAAAGTCTTTCTTGTATTTGAAAGACAATTTCCTTTTCTGGAATTGGCTTTATGGAATCTCATAAAAGATGCCTAACTGAGAAGGATAAAGGCTAGCGATTTTTTCAAGAAGGGGGGAAAAACAGATTAAAAGAAACAGCTCAAAACTAAAAGACAGAATTAAACAGCCCAAGTTTTTTTTTAAAAAAAATGCATTCAACTTAAAACACTATGATTGATACGAATTATGATGCTATGCTATGCTATGTTATGCTATGCTATGCTATTGTTTGCTTATTCATGTCAGAAGCATCACAATTAAAATAAGGTATACCATTAATAAAGGAGAATATTTGTAGCTCAGGGTTGACAAGAGGGATTCTAGTTGCTCTCTGAGCTAGCTTGTTTTCTCGCAGACATTTCATTACCCAAACTAGGTAACATCACTATCAGCATCAAACACTGACGATGTTACCTACTTTGGGTAATGAAACGTCTGCGAGAAAAGAAGCTGGTTCAGAGAGCAACAAGGACCCTTTAAGCCTTAAGCATACTATATGACATAAAAATTTAAAATATAAAATACAAGATTAAAATATACACAAATTAAACAAATCTTGCCCAGAAACTTACAACATTAATTGTGTTCTGTCATACTGCTATGAGGTCCTCAAACGTACACTGACCGGAACACAAATGTCAAATATGCATATGTGTTGTGGTCTGCATGTCCCCACAATTGCAAAAGCCACCAGATAGCCCTATTTGTTCAGAGTGTCTCTGGAGCTTATTGTACCTGTGTGCAGTCTATTCAACGATTACTTCCATACATCCCAGCTTTCGTCAGAAATTGATTCCATCCGGTGTTGGTTTTGTGTAGCTTTCCAGAGATCCTCTTTGCTTTCAAACTCTTCAAAGCTTTTCCTAGATTGTAGTCTCTGCTGAGCTGTTGTAAGCCACAGAGTGGGTGTTGTCTAGATATAGATGATGTTGAGCCTCTCTCTGTATGCTGCTGCTTTTGGCAGGACAAAAGCTAGGTGATAGATTTTATCTAGAGGGGTAGGTTTAACACTTCTGGTAATAATTCTGCTAGCTTCATTTAGAGCAACATCTACTTTCCTAGTATGTGTTGATTTATACCAGACTGGACAGCTCTATGATATGATATGAGATGAGATGAGATATAATTTCATTGCTTGCTGGGGCTTAGATTGAGTTGCCTTGCACTCAAATAATCTCAAACTTATTTCTGTTTTTTATTTTACAGTTTTACACTGGAATTTATAAACTGCTTTAATCTAGGGAGTCTCTGGGCAATTTATGTCCCCTTCTGACAGCAAATACCACAAAGAAACCAACAACTAGATTAACAATAGCAGAAACACTTTTTGAACTATAACCATCTGGCAGACGGTACAGAATAATAAAAACAAGGAGAAATAGGCTGAAAAACAGCTTCTATCCCAGGGCAGTAACTCTATTGAATTCTACTGTATAGTGCAATATTAATGCAATATCATGTGAAGGATGTGTGTTTATTTTCATAGTCCTAATATACACTGAAGATGGTATTTAATTTCGTTGTACAAGGTGCAATGACAATAAAGTAAACCAAACTAAACAGCAATAAAGAAAAATTACAAAGATGATTATGGCCCACCAGGAGTCGCTGTTACTCAATATCTGTGTTCTAACTCGCCTAAAATTTCCTGTTTGTGTTCAGATTAAGCACCATTTTTTAATCCGTAATATGCCGGCGTATTTTCTTTTTTTCTTGCTGGAAAGGACATATGGGGAACTCAAGAGAGACTATGAATGGAGCTAAGGCGCCCTGGGAACAAGCTCTATATAAGTTTGGGTGTCCTGCTACTGGTGTAGAAGAAACCCGGTGCACTGAGTGGCTCTTTGCAGATCAGGGGAAGAGATAGAAGTGACGGATTACAATATCTGAGCCCAAACACTACAACTCAATCTAGAATCTAGATCCAGTGCACGCGGATGAGTAAGAAAGGAAAATGAGAACTGGTGATGTCTTTTGAAGATGTGGTAGAAACTGAGATCTACCTGAAGGTTCAGGGTGGTGCTAACAAGTTAAATCTTCATATCCTTTCAAAAAAAAAAACAAAAAAAAAAACACCACATAATTTAGCAATAGCAATAGCGGTTAGACTTATATTTAGGCTTTACAGTCCTCACTAAGTGATTTACAGAGTCAGTCTATTACCCCCGACGATCTGGGTCCTCATTTTACCCATTTAAGAAGGACGGAAGGCCTGAGTCAACCTTGAGCCCTGGTGAGATTCGAACTGCCAAATTGCAGGTAGCCGGCAGCCTGCAGAAGTAGCCGGCAGTACCGCATTCTAACCACTGCACCACCGAGGTTCAATTTCTGCACATGCTCTTTGCACACTTCGTTAGGTGTAAGAATTTTTGCAAGACTCCATTCCTAATACAAATTTCTGGCATTGTTTTTTTTTTTTTTTTTCCATTCCCCCAGGAAGTTACCCAATCTATCTTGGTGTGTACCATCTCTTTGATGAACTCCTATGATTGATTGATCTTGTGCCATCAAGTCAGCGTCAACTCTTTGCAAATGTATAGATTTCCCCCCACCCCCTGGTCGATTTCTCTCCAAATTGCTTCTCAAATCTTCCAATGGGGCCCTCCTTCCTGCTATGCAGGAATTCAGTC